CCCTAAGGGAGACACCAGCCACCCTGCGGAGAAAACCCATCTCGGCCGCTTGTATCCGCGATCTCGTTCTTTCGGTCATGACCCATCCTTCATGGCCATAGGTGAGGGTAGGAACGAAAATGGCCCGGTAGACAGAGAGCTTTGCCTTCTGGCTCAGCTCCCTTTTCGTCACAACGGTGCGGTAAAGCGACTGCAGTACCGCTCCCGCTGCTCTGATTCTCCGGCCCATCTCACGCTCCATTGTTCCCTCACTCGAGAACAAGACCCCGAGATACTTGAACTCCTTCACTTGGGGTAAGGACTCATTCCCTACTTGAAGTGGACAGTCCATCGGTTTCCTGCTGAGAACCATGGCCTCAGATTTGGAGGTGCTGATCCTCATCCCAGCCGCTTCACACTCGGTTGCGAACCGATCCAGTGAGTGCTGAAAGTCGCAGACCGATGAAGCCATTAGAACCACATCATCTGCAAAAAGCAGTGGTGCAATCCTTAGTCCACCGAACTGCAGACCCCCTCCCCCATGACTACGCCTCGAAATCCGATCCATGTATATTACAAACAGGATTGGTGACAAAGCGCAGCCCTGGCGGAGGCCAACCCTCACCGGAAATGGGTCCGACTTACTGCCGAGGACCCGGACACAGCTCTCGCTTTGGGAGTACAGAGATTGGATGGCCCTGAGTAGAGACCCCCTCACCCCATACTCCCGCAGCACCTCCCACAGTAACTCCCTGGGAACTCGGTCATACGCCTTCTCCAAGTCTACAAAACACATGTAGACCGGATAAGTGTACTCCCAGGCCCCCTCCAGGATCCTTGCGAGAGTAAAAAGCTGATCCGTCGTTCCACGACCAGGACGGAATCCGCATTGTTCCTCCTCAATCTGAGGTTCGACAATCGGCCTGACCCTCCTTTCGAGTACCTTAGAGTAAACTTTCCCGGGGAGGCTGAGTAGTGTGATGCCTCTGTAATTGGCACACACCCTCTGATCCCCCTTTTTAAAAAGGGGAACCACCACCCCGGTCTGCCACTCCTTCGGTACTGTTTCCGACTTCCACGCAACGTTGATGAGACGTGTCAACCATGACAGTCCCTCAACACCCAGAGCCTTCAGCATTTCCGGGCGGATCTCATCCACCCCCGGGGCTTTGCCACTGTGGAGTTGTTTGACGACCTCAGTGACCTCCCCCCGGGAGATTGGTGTTGATCCCCCGTCATACTCTAGCTCTGCCTTTAACATAGAGGGCGGAGTTGTCGGGTTCAGGAGTTCCTCAAAGTGTTCCTTCCAACGCCCTAACACTCCATCAGTTGAGGTCAACAACGTCCCATCCTTACTGTACACAGCTTGGATGGTTCCCTGCTTCCCCCTCCTGAGGTGTCGGACAGTTTTCCAGAACAACTTTGGTGCCGCCCGAAAGTCCTTTTCCATGTCTTCTCCGAACTTCTCCCACACCCGCTGCTTTTGCCTCGGCCACGGATGAGGCTGAATAATGTATGAATACATTTTTGAAAAACATTTGATCAACAATAAAAAAGGATTTGGTCAGGATCTAGACTCAGTGTGTAGTTTATTCATTAATCAATGCTCACTACATTAGGAACACACATACCAGTGTCCCAGAGGGAGTCACACACAGCTGTGCCTAGATAACCAAAATCCTTGAATCTACACACAGCAAATAAACTGAAATGACACAACGAGAAAAAGGAGATCACACATACAGTATAGTCAGTATAAAACTGGCCGCTTCAATCTGAAGAGCAACTAAAACAAAACACGGGAGTGTACCTTGTTCTTGTAAACACTAATGTTATCCACAGCATACTCAGAGACCACGAAGTTCTTAAGGAGAAAACTAGTTGCTAAAACAAAACACGTTAGTGTACCTTGTTAGCTAATGTTAGCTAGCTGACATAAACGTTATACATTGCACTCATATTACTCACCGAAACCTTGTAAAGCCGGTCCCGCTGATCTTACAGAACCGACTAACTCCCCTTTCATATAGGTACAGCTCTCAACGTGCCCAGACTTGTAGTGATGTTCACCTCGTAAAATACTTTTATTCTCATTCTGAAAGAATGTGGTGAAATGTGCTAACGTGACGGCCATCTTTATGTTGGTGACGCATATTGTGCGAGACGAGAGACCTGTAGTTCACTGAGCGGTTTCACACGAAAAAATGTGTAACTTCACAGTTTTACGACACATTTTTATTTTTTTGACTTGCAAAATGTTCTTTTAAATTGACAAACATCATATGTGTCATTCGTGGCACAATTCAAACGGCATCAAAAGATAACCTTTCTCTCTCCATTGACTCCAATGTATAATTTTCCGCTTTCGGGGTCCCATGGAGGCTTTCGGAAGGGGAGGGACTTCGCCTCTCTATCGAACGCCCCCCAAGAACTACACATGCTGGCTATTGTGTTTCGCAAAATGTTCTATGGGACGTCTCTACTGAACGTTTTCGTTTTCCCCACAATTAGAAGTTGCCAGTATTAAACACATTGGTGTTATCAAATGTAAAACATATAATTAATAAATGGGTGAAAATCGCTTGTGTCCATAATGCGCAGCATTAATACCCACATGACAGCTCATTGTTACTTTGTAATTCTACTCCACTACAATTCAGAGGTTAATCTGGTATTTTTACTCCACTGCATTTATTTGAGTTACTTTGCAGATTCTGATTAATTATGTGAAATATAAACAACCCTTAAATCAGACTTTAGTTACACCTGAGTAAAATTCAGGGAATGTGATTGTGCCAACAATCAGGAGAGATATTTGATAGTTGGTGCTTGAGAAGACTAAACATGTATCTACAGATCTCTATAAAGTATATTAATTACTCGTTATTCTCTACTAATAGTTAATTAAAGACTGTATATTATGGCTATTTTGCACATCCATTTCAAGATTTCAAGATTTTCTAAGGTGTATTGACATATCATATACACAACTACGGTGTAGTTATGCAATGAATGAAACACTTGGGTCACAGGTTCCTCAACAGCGCATTACAAGACATCTATCAATATGCGTGTACCTCCACCATTAAACTGTCATATTCTGCACATTTCTTATACTATCTACATAAGAGTATAATTAATGTGTATAATATCAGTTAAAATAAATGCTTCAACATAGTTAACATTGCAGGAAAGCAATATATTAGACGTTAAGTACTTTGTCAGGCTTAATATTTATCTGTAGATAGATACCCCCAAAGTTTTTTTCTTATTTAAAAGAAGACCTAAATCTAAAGTATTCTTTAATGTGTTAATAAAGGTTAATTAGTCTGTTTTGCACCTCCTCATATTAATATCTTTGTACATCCTGCACTAAACTGTTTTATTGTAGAGATCACTTATAGTATCTTCTTGATTTTTTACATTCTATATTTATACTTTCCCCCTATGAAAGTATGTACTCTTAATTTTTTTTAAAACAATAATTCAATAACATGCTTTAACCACTAGGCGGTGCACACAAGGTACACACAGCCATAATAACGTTGTATTATTAGTGTAGGACACTTTTGTTTTCGTACAACATCTGAAGATGTGTAGTTTTATTCATGCTTTCACATAATGTTACAGCATATTGCTATACTATTTCAGACTCAGTCTTTACATTCTTACATTCAAAGAAAATCAGTAATATCTTTAAAAACTACAGTCCTTTTATATCAGCTGTGTACCGTTATGGTGTAAATATAACCTATCTACGAATTAGTGTTGATACTGCAAGGAGACGTATTGTGTGAAGAGAAATTGAAGATGTTGTTTAATTGTTGAATATATTTATGATTCACGTCAAGTATTCAGTTTCGGCGGCATTTCTTCCAGTTTGTCCAGAAGTCTTCTCATCAGGGCTCTATAAATAAAGAACTACGGCAGATCTGTAATATACAATGCAGCCGAACCGTGTATTACAATGCCGTTATGTGATGACTTTCAAAGAGAAAAGCAAGAGCGCTCGGAATTAAGTATTTTATTCTTTTAAAATGTTTTCCGGATTTCATATCATATAAACACCAAATCCCAGCATGCATTGCGGCTAAAACATCCAATAAGCGAGCTTAAAACCATAGCTGAGGATCTTGGGTAATCGCTCGAAATGCCTACGTCTGTTTCAGGTTATTTTTATTTTGAAATTCAGTTCCTAATGGACGCCAAAAAAGCCAGAGATTATGGAATTAAACCAATAAATAAAAGCAAGGATAATTGTGTGTTATTGGTGAGTAAATAACAGTGTGTTATTTTGAAAAGAATAACAAATTAGAAGGAAAAAAAGATTTAAAAAAATACAGATTTCAGTATCCTGAGGCTCTGAGCCATTTATTTTCCTCACAGACGGAAACAAAAGTCCGAAATTATACGATTTCAAATAAAAGCAATAACTGTGGCTTGATATTGAGTAAGAACATGTTTTTATGAACCACACAGCTTCCGGTCTTCCTCGACCCGACCGGAGAAAAAGACGTGCTGCAGGCAGTAGAAATACATTGCTTTTAAAATCGTGCTGTGCAACACGAAAAAAAGGGGCAAATCGTGTTGGTGAACACGAAATGCCGTGAGACTGGGTTGGAGGAGGACGAGGCAGCGAGTCCTGAGGTCCTGACGGATTGACTCGGTGACAAGCCCCTCCCCCCTGTGTGGAATATTACTGGACTCTGCCATTGACAGTATTATTGACCAGTTTTACCTGGGAGTGTTATTTTAGCTATTTTAAGTAGTATTGTCTACTATTATTACCTTGTTTTTAACCATTTTTATAGATGGATCTATTTTAGTATTTAAACTGTAATTTATTGAGTATAACAAATTACCTAAAATCTGTCCCGTGGTCCTCTATTCTTTGACGGTGGAAATGAGTTGCTGGTATATAAAAAGGAACCTCACACTAGAGTGTGACATACATACTCTTAATTTGAAGTCACACAGTAAGCAGGTATGTTAGCATGTTAGCCTGTTAGCATGTCTCCCACCGGCTGCGTGTCGGCGCTCTGCTTGACGGCGCTCTCTGCGGTCTCTCCAGCGCCTCCTGCTGTCTCTCGGTTCTGATCCGTCTTCTCCTTCAGGGCCGGGATTTGGTCCTGCAGGTCTTCAGGTCTCCGGCTCATCAGCTTCGTCTCCATGTCCTCCAGTTTGTCTCTCATCTGAAACAGAAGGAGACGGATCAGGCAGAGCAGGAGTCAGGTGACGGTGTTTGAGACGTTTGGGATGTGTTTACGTCTTGGATCTGGTCTCTGGTCCGGTCCCTGTCCCCAGTGGAGGTGTGCAGCTGGTCGTTGGCTTTGTCCTGAGCTCGCTCCGCTTCATAGAGATCTCGACTGATCCCGCTCAGGTCCACCGTCTCCGTCCGCTCCCTCAACACCAGAAACAAAAGCACAGATTCCTTCATGACATGATGCTGTAGAGAGACGTCAGAGACCTCGTCACCGAGACCTCGTCACGAGACGTCAGAGACCTGGTCACGAGACCTCGTCAACGGGACCTCATTGAGTCAGAGTTTGGTGTTGAGGTTTTTATTTTCAGCATTAACAAATGTTTGGTGTTATTTGGGTGTTCATGCTTGAGGACACTGACTTGAGTTCCCGGGCGTCCTTCAGAAGGTCATGGGCCGTCCTGGCGTGATCCTCCAGGTTCTCCAGGCTGTCCTGGAGGCTACTGGTGTTGAACAGCAGATTGTTGATGTCATTGATCAGTGATCGGGTCTGATACGGGGATCTCGGCAGCTTGATGTCCAGAACAGCGCGGGCCATTTTCTCTATGTCCTCTGGAGGAACCTTCTCGTCTGTAAGGGAGGACAGGATTACTGAAGATATCAGAGAACTCCTCACCTGTAAACTGAGGACAATGCTGACCATCACACTGACCTATCAGGTAGTCTCTGACGCGCTGGAGGAGCGCCTTGGTTATATCTTTCTCTCTCTGGAGGGAGTCGATGTTGCTGTTGATCTGGTCCTGGAGGTCTTTGGCCTTTCTTCTGGTGAGCTGAGCCTCCCGTGTGGCATCATCGATCTGACAGAGAACACATGGTTAGAACTGTGACTCAGTAGGCGGGCGTAAAGTGACCAGAAACAGATCTTCTGTTGATCTTAAACTAACGGTGATGATGTCCTGTTTACTAGGTGGATCTAGATGTTGCAGCCTTAGCTTCCAGTGCGTTGGATCATCAGGGTCGCTGCGTCTGAGCCGGACCAGTTCATCCTCTCATCAGGCCAGGCTGATCCTCAGTCTAGTCCTGGGAAACCTGACCTTTCTAAGCCCCCCCGACCTTCTCCAGAACTCATGTTACGGATAAACTCCCCTTCTGACCCAGTTCTGGTCTGACCCAGTTCTGGTCTGATCCAGACTGCTTGCCTCATGCTTCAGGTTAGAAGACGTGTTTTCTGGACGTGTGAACCTGCCTTGGTGTTGGCGTCTTGCAGGGCCTTTGGCAGTGTGCTGAGTTTGTCCTTCACTCCCTCTGCCGTCTCTGAAGCTTCCTGACTGACAGGAAACGCTCCGTCGCAGTTTGGGCCGCCACATTTCCTTCCCCCAAGGTCCAGAGCACACAGAGCGCCTCCACATCCTGAGCACCCGTCGGGACCTGATGCGCCGCAGACCTGCACACAAAACAGGGGAAACACACAGGGTATAGCACAGGAAACAGAGCACAGGAAACACAACACAGGAAACACAACTCAGGAAACACAACTCAGGAAACACAGCACAGGAAACACAGGAAACACAACTCAGGAAACACAACACAGGAAACACAACACAGGAAACACAACACAGGAAACACAACACAGGAAACACAGCACAGGAAACACAACTCAGGAAACACAACACAGGAAACACAACTCAGGAAACACAACACAGGAAACACAACTCAGGAAACACAGCACAGGAAACACAGCACAGGAAACACAGCACAGGAAACACAGCACAGGAAACACAACTCAGGAAACACAACTCAGGAAACACAACTCAGGAAACACAGGAAACACAACTCAGGAAACACAGCACAGGAAACACAGCACAGGAAACACAGCACAGGAAACACAACTCAGGAAACACAACTCAGGAAACACAACACAGGAAACACAACTCAGGAAACACAACTCAGGAAACAGAGGAAACACAACTCAGGAAACACAGCACAGGAAACACAACACAGGAAACACAGCACAGGAAACACAGCACAGGAAACACAGCACAGGAAACACAGCACAGGAAACACAACTCAGGAAACACAACACAGGAAACACAACACAGGAAACACAGGAAACACAGCACAGGAAACACAGCACAGGAAACACAACTCAGGAAACACAACACAGGAAACACAACTCAGGAAACACAACACAGGAAACACAACACAGGAAACACAGGAAACACAACTCAGGAAACACAACACAGGAAACACAACACAGGAAACACAGGAAACACAGCACAGGAAACACAACTCAGGAAACACAGCACAGGAAACACAGGAAACACAACACAGGAAACACAACACAGGAAACACAACTCAGGAAACACAACACAGGAAACACAACACAGGAAACACAGCACAGGAAACACAGCACAGGAAACACAACACAGGAAACACAACTCAGGAAACACAGCACAGGAAACACAACTCAGGAAACACAGCACAGGAAACACAACTCAGGAAACACAGCACAGGAAACACAACTCAGGAAACACAACACAGGAAACACAACTCAGGAAACACAGCACAGGAAACACAACTCAGGAAACACAACACAGGAAACACAACTCAGGAAACACAGCACAGGAAACACAACTCAGGAAACACAGCACAGGAAACACAACTCAGGAAACACAACTCAGGAAACACAGCACAGGAAACACAACTCAGGAAACACAACACAGGAAACACAACTCAGGAAACACAACACAGGAAACACAACTCAGGAAACACAGCACAGGAAACACAGGAAACACAACACAGGAAACACAACACAGGAAACACAACTCAGGAAACACAGCACAGGAAACACAGGAAACACAACTCAGGAAACACAACACAGGAAACACAACACAGGAAACACAACACAGGAAACACAACTCAGGAAACACAGCACAGGAAACACAGGAAACACAACACAGGAAACACAACACAGGAAACACAGCACAGGAAACACAACTCAGGAAACACAACTCAGGAAACACAACTCAGGAAACACAGGAAACACAACTCAGGAAACACAACACAGGAAACACAGCACAGGAAACACAACTCAGGAAACACAGCACAGGAAACACAACTCAGGAAACACAACTCAGGAAACACAACTCAGGAAACACAACTCAGGAAACACAGCACAGGAAACACAGGAAACACAACACAGGAAACACAACACAGGAAACACAGCACAGGAAACACAACTCAGGAAACACAACTCAGGAAACACAACACAGGAAACACAGGAAACACAACACAGGAAACACAACACAGGAAACACAGCACAGGAAACACAACTCAGGAAACACAACTCAGGAAACACAACTCAGGAAACACAGCACAGGAAACACAACACAGGAAACACAACACAGGAAACACAGCACAGGAAACACAGGAAACACAACACAGGAAACACAACACAGGAAACATAACACAGGAAACACAACTCAGGAAACACAGCACAGGAAACACAGGAAACACAACACAAGAAACACAACTCAGGAAACACAGGAAACACAACACAGGAAACACAGCACAGGAAACGGGGCATGAAGAAGCTCAGGTTACAGGGGTTACTCCCCCTTTGGGTGAGGTCAGTGTGACTCACCCTCCGGTTGAGGTCTCCCACCCTCAGATCCAGGACCCTCCTCTCCAGCGGCTCCAAGTCTGATCGGCTGCAGGTGCTCAGTCGGCGCTTCACTTCCTGTCTGGTGTCCATGGATTCCTCCACAGCTGTGATGGCCTTTCTCACCTTCTTCTCGTCCAATATGAAGGCCCTGTGCTGGTTCTGGATCTCATCCAGCAGCCCTGGACCGGAGAGAGAGTAGATGTTAGTGATCTCTAATGGAAGAGATGAACACAGGAACAGGAAGTAGATCTCTAATCTGGACGAGGGGTAAATACCCTCCTCGTCCTCCATGTCTCCGGCGCTCTGATCCGTGAAGGTTTTATCCTTCAGGTTGTTCAGCAGCTTCTTGAACTCCAGACCAATGTTGTCCAGCTCTGTGTGGAGGAGAGCGGATGTGTCCATCAGGATCCGGTTCTGGTCCAGACCGTCCTGCAGCTTCCTATGAGGAAAGAGATGGGAGGGATATCAGAGGGTCAGTGAAGGCCTCATGGAGCTCTCTCTAACAGAGATATCAGAGGGTCAGTGAAGGCCTCATGGAGCTCTCTCTAACAGGGATATCAGAGGGTCAGTGAAGGCCTCATGGAGCTCTCTGTAACAGGGATATCGGAGGGTCAGTGAAGGCCTCATGGAGCTCTCTCTAACAGGGATATCAGAGAGTCAGTGAAGGCCTCATGGAGCTCTCTGTAACAGGGATATCAGAGGGTCAGTGAAGGCCTCATGGAGCTCTCTCACAGGGATATCCGAGGGTCAGTGAAGGCCTCATGGAGCTCTCTCTCACAGGGATATCAGAGGGTCAGTGAAGGCCTCATGGAGCTCTCTCTAACAGGGATATCAGATGGTCAGTGAAGGCCTCATGGAGCTCTCTCTCACAGGGATATCAGAGGGTCAGTGAAGGCCTCATGGAGCTCTCTCTAACAGGGATATCAGAGGGTCAGTGAAGGCCTCATGGAGCTCTCTCTCACAGGGATATCAGAGGGTCAGTGAAGGCCTCATGGAGCTCTCTCTAACAGGGATATCAGAGGGTCAGTGAAGGCCTCATGGAGCTCTCTCACAGGGATATCCGAGGGTCAGTGAAGGCCTCATGGAGCTCTCTCTCACAGGGATATCAGAGGGTCAGTGAAGGCCTCATGGAGCTCTCTTTCACAGGGATATCAGAGGGTCAGTGAAGGCCTCATGGAGCTCTCTCTAACAGGGATATCAGAGGGTCAGTGAAGGCCTCATGGAGCTCTCTTTCACAGGGATATCAGAGGGTCAGTGAAGGCCTCATGGAGCTCTCTCTAACAGGGATATCAGAGGGTCAGTGAAGGCCTCATGGAGCTCTCTCTCACAGGGATATCAGAGGGTCAGTGAAGGCCTCATGGAGCTCTCTCTCACAGGGATATCAGAGGGTCAGTGAAGGCCTCATGGACCAGTTGGATGTTTGCTCTAACATACAGTGCGACTGAAAGCTGTGTTCCTGCTGCAGAACTTCTCAATCCTCTGAAGAGGAAGTTGCTCTGTTCCTACATTAGAGATGGATTCCACTTTCTTTATGACTTCATAAAATATAACAAAAGACAAACGTTGTCCATGAACCATCTTTCAGTTTCTCTCCACACCTGCTAGTGTTTGTAAGCTAACGTACCCGACCCTCGCTCTCAGGTGCTCCACCTGCTCCACCCTGGATGGGGCGTCGCCCGTCAGGTTGCCGAGGAGATGCAGCGCCGCCTGCAACTGCAGCATCCGTTGCTCGGGGCGACCGCCTGTGGGCCGCTGGTTGTCATGGAAAGGGATGAAGCGCCTCATGGTGTGAGCGGCGCGCTGCACGTCCTCCACCTGCTGCGCCCACAGCGCTCTGCAGGTGTGGCACGGAGCGCAGAGCGGGAACGCAGAGTACCCCGAGGAACACTCATCACAGAAGATCCCCGAGACCCCCTCCCTGCAGAGGCACTCTCCGGTCTCAGGGTCGCAGGACGGGGGCTCCGTGCCCTCCAGGTTACAGTCGCACGCTGACAACAAGAGGACACGTGTCAGAATGACATCACTAACTGTTGTTAAGAGCCTCAGACCCTCAGGAAGGGCTGGAGGGTCCCAGAAACCCGGCTGAAGACTCCGGGTGATTCTCCGTCAGAGCTATTATTATCATTATTATTCTAGTATTGCTTCTGTTCTAATCCATGCAAAGCACTTTGTGTCTTTGTTTTGAAAAGTGCTGCATTAGTAAAGTTATTATTGAATAAGCCCCCCCCCCCCCCCCTCAGTTATGATATTAATAATAATAATAATAATAATACATTGCATTTCAAAGCGCTTTTCCAGGTGCTCAAAGACGCTTTACAGTGGTGATAAAACATGATAAAATAGAATTTAAAAGTTATTAAAACAAGATAAAATAACATTTAAAAGTTATTAAAACAGCAATACAGCATAATTCACAGATTAAAAGCCAGTCTGAAGAGGTGGGTTTTGGTCAGTGTTTTGAAAGTGGGGGGGTCAGTGCAGTCTCTGATGTGTTGTGGGAGGGAGTTCCAGAGGGTGGGGGCAGGGATGGAGAAGGCTCTATCCCCCCAGGTTCGGAGCTTGGTTTTCTTGGGGATAGAGAGGAGGTTCGCTTCTGATGAGCGAAGGCTGCGGGAAGGGGTGTAGTGGTGGATCAGGTCAGAGAGGTAGGGGGGAGCCTGGTTATTGAGAACTTTGTGTGTGAGCAGAAGGATTTTGAAGTGTATTCGTTGACGAACAGGGAGCCAGTGCAGGTTTTGAAGGACGGGGGTGATGTGGTCTCTGGAGCGGGTGTGGGTGAGGAGGCGGGCAGCGCAGTTCTGGATGTATTGTAGTTTATTTAGGATTTTGGATGATGAACCATACAGGATGCTGTTGCAGTAGTCCAGTCTTGAAGTGACAAATGCGTGGATGAGGGTTTCAGCAGCCGGGAAGGTGAGTGAGGGGCGGAGGCGGGCAATGTTTTTCAGATGGAAGAAGGCAGTCCTGGTGATGTGGTTTGTGTGTTTGTCAAATTTGAGCTGGCTGTCAAAGATTACTCCAAGGTTGCGAATGTGAGGACCAATGACGTGTCACTCCGGGGGGGGGGGGAACCATCACTGTTAGAAAGAGCATTGTGGGATGATGACTCAGGACTCGGTTCTGATTGGATGTAACCATGACTTAGTTTTAAATATGGAGGGTTCTGGTGGGACTCGGAAACCCTTTCCACGACTCAGGACTGATTATTCTTCTCTTTCCAAATCAGGAGCTTCATCCATAAACCGATGAGAGCGGTCTGGACATTAACAGATAGTAACACATGTTATTACAAGCTTATCAGTAAGGAAGAAGTCATTGGTTATATAAGATGTTTGTTTACACGCCTGCTGATGGTCTTAAAACAGCCTGGGGGGGGGGGGGGGGGGGGGGGGGGGGATCTGGCTTCCATCCGGACAGGAAGACTACGTGTGATGAGACCCTAACCCAGTACACAGACTGCATGAACCCCCAGCTGCTCAGTGTAAATATGATCCTATGTGCTCTTCAAAATGCTTCAAATGTAAAAAATAACTGGTTCATACAGTCGTCTTATTTTGTACCGGTAGACCCATATCCCTGGACCCCCTTTTAATCCTGACTCCAGCACACTCTGAGGACCGCTTCACATTATCACACTGACTGGTGTTCAGATGGTTTGAAAACAGATGTTGTCTTAGAACTGATCCCATGTTCATCAAATAATGGAACAGAATAAGGATCCGTGTCTCTGAGAGCCGGCAGGTTCTGTTTCCAAAGATAACTGAGCGCAGAAGGAAGGACTGGATGAGATGTGGGTCGTGGTCTACACTCACAGAAGGATGAGATGTGGGTCGTGGTCTACACTCACAGAAGGATGAGATGTGGGTCGTGGTCTACACACACAGAAGGATGAGATGTGGGTCGTGGTCTACACTCACAGAAGGATGAGATGTGGGTCAGGGTCTACACTCACAGAAGGATGAGATGTGGGTCGTGGTCTACACTCACAGAAGGATGAGATGTGGGTCGTGGTCTACACTCACAGAAGGATGAGATGTGGGTCAGGGTCTACACTCACAGAAGGATGAGATGTGGGTCGTGGTCTACACTCACAGAAGGATGAGATGTGGGTCAGGGTCTACACTCACAGAAACACTGCAGGTCCGGATTCCCAAAGTGGTTTTCTCCACATACGTCACACTGTCTTCCTCCGAACTCAGCATGGCACGGACACTGCCCCGTCACCTGAACACATCACGCGTCATTGTGAGTTAACATTCAAGAAGCAGTCATTTCTGCACTCAAAACCCACCTGTTCAACACTGCATTCAACCACTGACCCCCCCCCCACCTGTTCGACACTGCATTCAACCACTGACCCCCCCCCCACCTGTTCAACACTGCATTCAACCACTGACCCCCCCCCCCCCACCTGTTCAACACTGCATTCAACCACTGACCCCCCCCCCACCTGTTCAACACTGCATTCAACCACTGACCCCTCCCCCCCCACCTGTTCAACACTGCATTCAACCACTGACCCCTCCCCCACACCTGTTCAACACTGCATTCAACCACTGACCCCTCCCCCCCCACCTGTTCAACACTGCATTCAACCACTGATCCCCCCCCCCCACCTGTTCAACACTGCATTCAACCACTGACCCCTCCCCCCCACCTGTTCAACACTGCATTCAACCACTGACCCCCCTCCCCACCTGTTCAACACTGCATTCAACCACTGATCCCCCCCCCCACCTGTTCAACACTGCATTCAACCACTGTGTGCATCTGGACCCGGTGACGACATTACCTATTGATGCAGCAACCACTGTAAGTTATATTCTTGTTTAATTAGACTTCTTTGTTTCATTTATTCGACTCTGTATAAATTGTTATTGTAGCTTTAACGGCTAAATCGCGTTTGAGAGATTTTAAATCTCAGATCTGCTCAGGCGAAACCTGCTTTACAGGTCTCAGCACTCAAGCCTGCATTAATATAGGCACGGCCAGTCTATTGTCGCCCATCAGCTGTAGATAGTTAACTAATTAGAGGGCCGTGGCCCTACAGCTGTGAGAACTGAGCAATCAGGCGTCCATTTCGGGTAGCTCTTTCCTGGAGCGTCAGCTTCAGCGTCAGACAGCCGGAGACTGACAAAGACATTGGAGTCCTGCGGGAGTAAGACTGACAAAGACATTGGAGTCCTGCGGGAGTAAGACTGACAAAGACATTGGAGTCCTGCGGGAGTCACGAGGGAGGCAAAGAGGAGGCAAATCCTACTCTGATCGAGCTGGTGTCTTATTTCTCTTTTCTTTAGTTTTCTAACCCCTCATGCTATAATCATGTGTATTTTCTCTATTCCTGTTCATGTGTCTTCTCGCAATTATCACTGGCCCCGTGTATCTCCTAATCGATATAACCAGCCTGCTCTCGTCTGTCCCACGTGCTCCACTGAGATCCAACATCTAGTTTCTGGCGGCCTGTTGAACTGCCAGTCAGCTGTTCCTAAGGCTGACTTCATCTCTGGCTACGCCTCCCTGCAGTCTCTGGATTTCCTTGCTCTCACTGAGACCTGGATTACTCCATCCAACACATCCACCCCAGCAGCTCTCTCCACTGCATATTCCTTCTCCCATACACCCAGACCCACTGGCAGAGGAGGTGGCACTGGTCTCCTGCTCTCTCCCAAATGGAGCTTTTCCCTCTTCAAGCTACCTAACTTCACTCCTTCCACCTTTGAATTCCATGCCGTCACAGTAACCCATCCTATACAGTTAACCATTGTTGTTCTCTACCGTCCACCAGGCGCCTTGGGGGACTTCTTGGAGGAATTAGATAATCTCCTCTCACTCATCCCTGAAACTGGCCCTCCCGCTGTACTTCTCTGAGACTTCAACCTCCAGACGGGGAAGATAGACAAATTAACATATCTGTTAACCGCCTTTGCTTTCTCACTGTCTCCGTCCCCACCGACTCATAAAGCTGGCAATGTCCTTGATCTCATATTCTCAAGGAACTGCGCTACTTCTAACCTCTCTGTAAACCCGCTCCACACATCCGATCACTTCTTCATTTCATTCTCTCTATCCCTTTCCAAACATAACAAACTAATCTCTTCTCATCCTGTACTTGTCCGCCGTAACCTTCGCTCCCTCTCCCCCTCTACCTTTGCCTCGTCGGTGCTCTCAGCCCTCCCTTCCTCTGATTCGTTCCATCTCCTGCCTCCAAACTCTGCTGCAGAAACTCTCCTCTCTCCTCTCTCATCCACTCTGGACTCGCTCTGTCCTCTCACATCTCGGCAGGCTCGTCAGTCCCCTCCTGCTCCCTGGCTAAATGATGCACTGCGTGCTAATAGAACCGTCCTTAGGGCAGCAGAGCGGAAATGGTGGAAATCCAAACACCGTGACGACCTCCTAACCTATCAGGCTCTCCTCTCCTCTTTCTCTGCTTCCATCTCTCAGGCAAAAAGCACTTTCTTTCAAGAACTTTCTTAAGATCCAATCTTCCTATTCCAATCCTAAACAACTATTTTCCATCTTCTCCACCCTCTTGGACCCTCCAAAAGCTCCTCCCCCCCTCCTCACTTCTGTCAAGCGACTTTGTTACCCACTTTGAAAAAAAGGTTGATGATATTCGCTCTTCTTTTTCTGACTCACCTTAACTCCCCGCTGGGTCACCAGACCCTCCTTCCACCAACACACTAACCTCCTTTTCCCCTCTCTCTCCAAGTGAGGTTCTTACCCTCATTACCTCTGCCCGCCCTACCACCTGTCCTCTGGACCCTATCCCTTCAAACCTCCTTCAGACTATCGCTCAAGGAGGCAAGAGTAAACCCTCTCCTAAAGAAACCCCCTCTCAACCCGTCTGATGTTATAAACTACAGGCCTGTTTCTCTCCTCCCGTTCCTGTCTAAATCACTTGAACGCGCTGTCTTTAAACAACTCTCCTGTTATCTCAATCAGAACAACCTTCTGGATCCACACCAGTCTGGTTTCAAGGCAGGTCACTCCACAGAAACTGCTCTCATTGCTGTCACGGAGGAACTGCACACTGCCAAAACTGCATCCCTCTCCTCTGTCATCATCCTATTGGACCTGTCTGCTGCATTCGACACGGTGAATCATCAGATCCTCCTTCGCACTCTCCAAAAACTTGGAGTTTCAGGCTCTGCACTTTCCCTCCTCATCTCATACCTGAAAGACCGTACCTACAGGGTGACTTGGAGAGGGTCTGAGTCCGACCCTTGTCAATTAACTACGGGGGTCCCTCAGGGCTCTGTTCTTGGTCCCCTCCTCTTCTCCCTGTATACAAACTCGCTCGGATCAGTCATTAGCCCGCATGGTTTTTCTTACCACTGCTACGCTGATGACACCCAATTAATTCTGTCCTTTCCCCGCTCAGAGACCCAGGTCGTTGCACGCATCTCTGCTTGTCTAGCTGACATCTCTCAGTGGATGTCTGCTCACCACCTCAAGGTCAACCTTGACAAGACTGAGCTGCTCTTCCTCCCGGGAAAAGATTGTCCCACTCTTGACCTGACAATCAACATCGGCACCTCAGTTGTTTCCCCCCGACTCAGACTGCAAGGAATCTGGGTGTGACCCTAGATAACAACCTGTCCTTCACTGCAAACATTGCTGCTACAAACCCGTTGCTGCAGATACACGCTTTACAACATCAGGAAGATACGTCCCCAGCTGACTCAGAAAGCGACTCAGCTTCTGGTCCAGGCTCTCGTCATCTCACGCCTAGACTACTGCAACTCCCTCCTGGCTGGTCTACCTGCATGTGCCATCCGACCTCTGCAGCTCATCCAGAATGCAGCGGCTCGTCTGGTCTTCAACCTTCCTAAATTCTCCCACACCACTCCGCTCCTCCGCTCCCTTCACTGGCTTCCGGTAACTGCTAGAATCCACTTCAAGACACTGGTACTTGCTTACCATGCTGCGAATGGATCTGGCCCTTCCTACATCCAGGACATGGTTAAACCGTACACCCCAGCGTGTGCACTACGCTCTGCATCACCCAAACGACTCGTTGCGCCCTCGCTGCGAGGGGGACCCAAGTTCCCATCGGTGAAAATACGTGGGTTTGCTGTCCTGGCTCCAAGTTGGTGGAATGAGCTCCCCATTGACATCAGGACGGCAGATAGCTTGCACATCTTCCGGCGCAAACTGAAAACTCATCTCGTTCGACTCCACTTCGAGCGTTAGAACTATTAACGAAGCACTTTTATACTAATAAAGGACTGGCTTACCTAAAGCCAGTTGAGTAGCACTTGAAATGTTTGGCTCTATGAAACCTGATATACTTTATGATTCTGTTTTCTTCAAGGTTGTGTCTTCCTGGTCGAATGTACTTATTGTAAGTCACTTTGGATAAAAGCGTCAGCTAAATGCAATGTAATGTAATGTAATGTAATGATCCCCCCCCCCCCCCCCCCCCCACCTGTTCAACACTGCATTCAACCACTGATCCCCCCCCACCTGTTCAACACTCCATTCAACCACTGATCCCCCCCCCCACCTGTTCAACACTGCATTCAACCACTGATCCCCCCCCCCACCTGTTCAACACTGCATTCAACCACTGATCCCCCCCCCCCACCTGTTCAACACTGCATTCAACCACTGTGTGCATCTGGACCCGGTGACGACATTACCTATTGACGCAGCAACCACTGTAAGTTATATTCTTGTTTAATTAGACTTCTCTGTTTCATTTATTCGACTCTGTATAAATTGTTATTGTAGCTTTAACGGCTAAATCGCGTTTGAGAGATTTTAAATCTCAGATCTGCTCAGGCGAAACCTGCTTTACAGGTCTCAGCACTCAAGCCTGCATTAATATAGGCACGGCCAGTCTATTGTCGCCCATCAGCTGTAGATAGTTAACTAATTAGAGGGCCGTGGCCCTACAGCTGTGAGAACTGAGCAATCAGGCGTCCATTTCGGGTAGCTCTTTCCTGGAGCGTCAGCTTCAGCGTCAGACAGCCGGAGACTGACAAAGACATTGGAGTCCTGCGGGAATAAGACTGACAAAGACATTGGAGTCCTGCGGGAGTAAGACTGACAAAGACATTGGAGTCCTGCGGGAGTCACGAGGGAGGCAAAGAGGAGGCAAATCCTACTCTGATCGAGCTGGTGTCTTATTTCTCTTTTCTTTAGTTTTCTAACCCCTCATGCTATAATCATGTGTATTTTCTCTATTCCTGTTCATGTGTCTTCTCGCAATTATCACTGGCCCCGTGTATCTCCTAATCGATATAACCAGCCTGCTCTCGTCTATCCCACGTGCTCCACTGAGATCCAACATCTAGTTTCTGGCGGCCTGTTGAACTGCCAGTCAGCTGTTCCTAAGGCTGACTTCATCTCTGGCTACGCCTCCCTGCAGTCTCTGGATTTCCTTGCTCTCACTGAGACCTGGATTACTCCATCCAACACATCCACCCCAGCAGCTCTCTCCACTGCATATTCCTTCTCCCATACACCCAGACCCACTGGCAGAGGAGGTGGCACTGGTCTCCTGCTCTCTCCCAAATGGAGCTTTTCCCTCTTCAAGCTACCTAACTTCACTCCTTCCACCTTTGAATTCCATGCCGTCACAGTAACCCATCCTATACAGTTAACCATTGTTGTTCTCTACCGTCCACCAGGCGCCTTGGGGGACTTCTTGGAGGAATTAGATAATCTCCTCTCACTCATCCCTGAAACTGGCCCTCCCGCTGTACTTCTCTGAGACTTCAACCTCCAGACGGGGAAGATAGACAAATTAACATATCTGTTAACCGCCTTTGCTTTCTCACTGTCTCCGTCCCCACCGACTCATAAAGCTGGCAATGTCCTTGATCTCATATTCTCAAGGAACTGCGCTACTTCTAACCTCTCTGTAAACCCGCTCCACACATCCGATCACTTCTTCATTTCATTCTCTCTATCCCTTTCCAAACATAACAAACTAATCTCTTCTCATCCTGTACTTGTCCGCCGTAACCTTCGCTCCCTCTCCCCCTCTACCTTTGCCTCGTCGGTGCTCTCAGCCCTCCCTTCCTCTGATTCGTTCCATCTCCTGCCTCCAAACTCTGCTGCAGAAACTCTCCTCTCTCCTCTCTCATCCACTCTGGACTCGCTCTGTCCTCTCACATCTCGGCAGGCTCGTCAGTCCCCTCCTGCTCCCTGGCTAAATGATGCACTGCGTGCTAATAGAACCGTCCTTAGGGCAGCAGAGCGGAAATGGTGGAAATCCAAACACCGTGACGACCTCCTAACCTATCAGGCTCTCCTCTTTCTCTGCTTCCATCTCTCAGGCAAAAAGCACTTTCTTTCAAGAACTTTCTTAAGATCCAATCTTCCTATTCCAATCCTAAACAACTATTTTCCATCTTCTCCACCCTCTTGGACCCTCCAAAAGCTCCTCCCCCCTCCTCACTTCTGTCAAGCGACTTTGTTACCCACTTTGAAAAAAAGGTTGATGATATTCGCTCTTCTTTTTCTGACTCACCTTAACTCCCCGCTGGGTCACCAGACCCTCCTTCCACCAACACACTAACCTCCTTTTCCCCTCTCTCTCCAAGTGAGGTTCTTACCCTCATTACCTCTGCCCGCCCTACCACCTGTCCTCTGGACCCTATCCCTTCAAACCTCCTTCAGACTATCGCTCAAGGAGGCAAGAGTAAACCCTCTCCTAAAGAAACCCCCTCTCAACCCGTCTGATGTTATAAACTACAGGCCTGTTTCTCTCCTCCCGTTCCTGTCTAAATCACTTGAACGCGCTGTCTTTAAACAACTCTCCTGTTATCTCAATCAGAACAACCTTCTGGATCCACACCAGTCTGGTTTCAAGGCAGGTCACTCCACAGAAACTGCTCTCATTGCTGTCACGGAGGAACTGCACACTGCCAAAACTGCATCCCTCTCCTCTGTCATCATTCTATTGGACCTGTCTGCTGCATTCGACACGGTGAATCATCAGATCCTCCTTCGCACTCCCCAAAAACTTGGAGTTTCAGGCTCTGCACTTTCCCTCCTCACCTCATACCTGAAAGACCGTACCTACAGGGTGACTTGGAGAGGGTCTGAGTCCGACCCTTGTCAATTAACTACGGGGGTCCCTCAGGGCTCTGTTCTTGGTCCCCTCCTCTTCTCCCTGTACACAAACTCGCTCGGATCAGTCATTAGCCCGCATGGTTTTTCTTACCACTGCTACGCTGATGACACCCAATTAATTCTGTCCTTTCCCCGCTCAGAGACCCAGGTCGTTGCACGCATCTCTGCTTGTCTAGCTGACATCTCTCAGTGGATGTCTGCTCACCACCTCAAGGTCAACCTTGACAAGACTGAGCTGCTCTTCCTCCCGGGAAAAGATTGTCCCACTCTTGACCTGACAATCAACATCGGCACCTCAGTTGTTTCCCCGACTCAGACTGCAAGGAATCTGGGTGTGACCCTAGATAACAACCTGTCCTTCACTGCAAACATCGCTGCTACAACCCGTTGCTGCAGATACACGCTTTACAACATCAGGAAGATACGTCCCCAGCTGACTCAGAAAGCGACTCAGCTTCTGGTCCAGGCTCTCGTCATCTCACGCCTAGACTACTGCAACTCCCTCCTGGCTGGTCTACCTGCATGTGCCATCCGACCTCTGCAGCTCATCCAGAATGCAGCGGCTCGTCTGGTCTTCAACCTTCCTAAATTCTCCCACACCACTCCGCTCCTCCGCTCCCTTCACTGGCTTCCGGTAACTGCTAGAATCCACTTCAAGACACTGGTACTTGCTTACCATGCTGCGAATGGATCTGGCCCTTCCTACATCCAGGACATGGTTAAACCGTACACCCCAGCGTGTGCACTACGCTCTGCATCACCCAAACGACTCGTTGCGCCCTCGCTGCGAGGGGGACCCAAGTTCCCATCGGCGAAAACACGTGGGTTTGCTGTCCTGGCTCCAAGATGGTGGAATGAGCTCCCCATTGACATCAGGACGGCAGATAGCTTGCACATCTTCCGGCGCAAACTGAAAACTCATCTCGTTCGACTCCACTTCGAGCGTTAGAACTATTAACGAAGCACTTTTATACTAATAAAGGACTGGCTTACCTAAAGCCAGTTGAGTAGCACTTGAAATGTTTGGCTCTATGAAACCTGATATACTTTATGATTCTGTTTTCTTCAAGGTTGTGTCTTCCTGGTCGAATGTACTTATTGTAAGTCACTTTGGATAAAAGCGTCAGCTAAATGCAATGTAATGTAATGTAATGTAATGATCCCCCCCCCCCCCCCCCACCTGTTCAACACTGCATTCAACCACTGATCCCCCCCCACCTGTTCAACACTCCATTCAACCACTGATCCCCCCCCCCCACCTGTTCAACACTGCATTCAACCACTGACCCCCCCCCCCCCACCTGTTCAACACTGCATTCAACCACTGACCCACCCCACCTGTTCAACACTGCATTAAACCACTGACCCCCCCCCCCCCACCTTATCAACACTGCATTAAACCACTGACCCCTCTCCCCACCTGTTCAACACTGCATTAAACCACTGACCCCCCCCCCCCACCTGTTCAACACTGCATTAAACCACTGACCCCCCCCACCACCTGTTCAACACTGCATTCAACCACTGACCCCCCCCCCCCCACACCTGTTCAACACTGCATTCAACCACTGACCCCCCCCCCACCTGTTCAACACTGCATTAAACCACTGACCCCCCCCCACCTGTTCAACACTGCATTCAACCACTGACCCCCCCCCACCTGTTCAACACTGCATTAAACCACTGACCCCCCCCCCACCTGTTCAACACTGCATTAAACCACTGACCCCCCCCCCACCTGTTCAACACTGCATTAAACCACTGGCCCCCCCCCCACCTGTTCAACACTGCATTAAACCACTGACCCCCCCCCCCCCCCCACCTGTTCAACACTGCATTCAACCACTGACCCCCCCCCCCCCCCCCCACCTGTTCAACACTGCATTCAACCACTGAGAATATAAAACATATAATAAATAGCAGGTGTTGCCTTGTTGCAGGTGTTGGAGAAGGCGTTGGCGGTGTCGCAGCTGCAGGGCTGGCACCCCGCGCCCCCCCCCAGGTTCCAGTATTCGTCCTCACACTGGTCACAGAGGATGCCTTGTACCCCCCCCCTGCAGGGGCACTGGCCCATCTGAGGTTCACAGACACAGGGACTGCCCTCCGGACACTGAGTCACCTCCGTGCCCCGCCGCTCACAGGTGCATTCTGGGAAATATCAGGGAAAACATCAAAACAAAAACAACAAGTGAACTCTGAAGCCTCCGAGACCGCCTGACAGCTGAGGCCTGAACTAAGAAGCCCGATTTTGCTCACTTCAGGGGAAACTCTGGGTTTCCGGTCCTAGGACGCTGGTTCTCTTTTTAGCGGGCTAGATCTCCATGGTAACTGATGCTGAGCAACAAACCTGCTCCGGAGCAGGTTAGGTTGCAGGCTAAGAGCTCAACTCAGTGAAAGCACCGCCTGCTGACCAATCAGAGCTCAGTGTGTGGAGTTTAACCTCTTAAGCCCCAAGCCTGTTTTTCAGGTTTCAGGCTCGAAAATGACATGCCCAAAACAAAGGACTATAACTTAACTTCTAAAAGGGTTATATGAATAATTTATTTTATCAAACCAAGGTCACATCTGTGAGTTGGATGTAGAAGTGTCAGAATCAATAAAGATGTTTCAGTGTCAGAGTAAATCCAGATGGAACATAGTCAAAAAGTGTAAATTGTTGTCTCCGCCCAAATAAAACCCATTACTTATAGTGAAAACCACCCTTGAATGATGGGTTAGTAGCCTAAAAGCTTTAGGAATCCAAAGTATAACATATAATAAGTACCCTGTATCAAGATTGAGGCAAAACAAGTGAGAATTGACCTTTTAAAGAGATTTAGCAAAAAAAAGTCCAAGCGGACTAAGCTTTGGGTACATTTGGGTACATTTGGTTCCATTCAGTGCCATTTAACCTTTTTCAGGTACCAGACTGTAAAAATCAATGTATAACATTTAATTATCACTATAGGTATTCATTCCATAACAACAACAAAAAAAAATGGGTGTGTGGGTGAAGTGTGTGGGAAGTTCCCTCTTTGCATGAGATGCATGTTACTTGCACAATAAAAATTAGGAAACTTAGGAAACATTTGACTCGAACTGGAGCAGATTTATTTAAAAAAATTAACAACACAACAAGCATTTTTTGGGTAAAAAAACAAAACTTTATACAAACCCTGAATGTTACAGTATTACTCCAGTAAGTCATGCCCTGCCCTGTAACAGTTATTTTTGGTAGTGAAGCACAGAGAGACCTGACACTTCCTGCAGTACACAGGTGTCTTCACTCTTCAGTTGCCAGCATCAGAGCACCTCCTGCAGTACCTCCTGACCTTGGTGGCATCTTCCCCATAATACTCGGGCATCCAGAAGCCATATCCTCATCGCCTTCCTCACTGTGAAAACAAATGTGGAAAAAACAAATAGATTAATTCTCTGGCTTGTACTTTCAAAAATGTAACTCAAATCAGAAATAATTTCTCTACAACAACAGCAGAGCATCAATGTTGAGTGTGTGAAATAACATTATATCACTCAAAATGTATACCGTGTAAATTATGTGAGACGGGGTTCATATAATCTTTTCAATATTTAATAATATTCCGTCTGTCATATATTTATATATGTATATTGTGTATATACATATTATGTATGCATGTGTGTATGTATGTATATATATATATTATATAATATATATATATAATATAAGTAATAATTGTAAGTCGCTTTGGATAAAAGCGTCAGCTAAATGAAATGTAATACCGTGTTAAATTCAACATGTCTTGTTTATTTCAACAACAAGAACAATAAACGGCATCCATCTTCTTTGTTTGTTGTTGAGTGTGTGAAAGAACATTATATCACAAGATGGATGCCGTCGTGTTATTGTCACGTGTGTGAAATTACTATAGATGAATACACTCTTACACCAAATAAATAACAAAAAGATAAAAACAGATGAATACTCTTACACCAAATAAATAAGTAATAGATACAAACAGAGAGATTACCTTTCCGGTGATGGAGGTTCATAATCAGTCATTACTGTCCCCTTTATGCGTGACGAGATCACTATCTTCCGACGGAGAGTCCTGAAATACGATGTCCAATGCCTCCTCGACGGACAAAAAAGTCTTCTTTCTGGCTGCCATTGTTACAATGAAGACAAAGAAAACAAATCCTGCTGTTTCGCTGATCGATCTGCCGTTCTCTGCTCTCCTGTCGCCGCGGGACATGCCATGCTATGCTATGCTATGCTAGGCTATGCTATGCTATGCTATGCTGCGTAAAAATAGTGGGCTGTGCTTAAACCAGCTATACTCCCTTTACTTATACTTAACCCATTGGTCGATTTGGGTGATTGACACCTTTTTTGAATCGTTAGAGCCAATCGAATCGAGTGGCAGTTTCAAAATACGTAAATACGTTACGCCTGCGGAGGGGGAGCTATGCGTAAACGGCATCTCCCGCAGCTGAAGCCACGGACTGTTAATCGTTGGACCTACTCTTCTGCCGTGAATGAAAGGATTGATTCTCAGTAATCATTTTAAAGTGACAAGAGACATTGGATTAACCCTGAGCAGCGTTTTTATTCCTTTGAACACAACTTTTGATCACAAAACAGCCAAGGTAAGACCTAATTATTGTCATGGATTTGAAAACTGATATTGTTTACTTGCTATGTTCTGGCTGCTAGCTCGGTTAATGTTGTGCCTGTAGTGATGGGATGTATACCCATGGAATCTGTGGAATCTCAGCTTTCAGAAAATGTGTTGTTTGTGCAGAAAGTATGAATTATAAATGATCGTTTTTGTGAGTTATGAGCAGAAATAGCAATTGCCCGTTTTTGCCATGGGCTCATTTAGAGGCTTCTTGTGAGACTTCTTTTTCGAAAAACTTCTCTTTTTTTCGTATCGTCAGTTAGCCAAGTTTCCTCCGGTCAGATGGGTATGGAATATTAATAGTTTCATGAATGACACTTTAGATATAGCACTGTTGCTACATATATAGCATTTTCGGACCCGAGCTCGATTTTCTTTATAATCTGTACCCTGTGTCCCTTTGTGTCCTTTTGTAGTCAATTTCCTGTTGTTTGTCTTGTCTTACCCCGGCTGATACTTCACTAAATCCACTGTTTTAATTTGTAAGGTAAAATTGTAAATGTAAATTGTAAATCAGTAACCTTGTAAGGTGTCCTTGGGTGTTATGAAAGGCGCCCCCCAAAATAAATGTATTATTATTATTATTATTATTATTATAATATTAGACATATGAAGAAGTTAAACTTTAAACATCCATGACTCAAACACTTGATCCAGGATCAAAGCCACAGAGCTGCACCTGCAAGGTGAACACAGCTGGGAACAGAACAAGTGTTTGAATGCGTACATTAACAGCTTTATGATATCACTGCCCGTCTAAGACACCATCTGACTTTCATTACATTTGACTCCAGTGTTTCCTCAACTTAATGTGTTGCTTCAAATAATGCTTCTGCATCCAGTCTGTGACGCTGTGAGTGTTGCACGGCCAGATACGGCTCAGCTGACTCAGATCAGGAGATGATACATTATGAAGTGATATGGACTGTACTTAATGTGACTCTGATCCGGTTACTTATGTTGTGGCAGATATTTCAGTAAGCTTTCTTAACGCTAATGTTATAATAGTCAGATTGCTCTGAAGATGGAGGTGATATTCTATTCATGTTCACGTTCACACAGTCGGTGATCTTTGCCGGCCGTCTTTCCTGCAACGGCAGCTTTTCTGTATTTCCTTTCTCCTGTAATATGACTTGATCGCTTTAAACTCCGCACACTGAGCTCTGATTGGTCAGCAGGCGGTGCTCTCACTGAGTTGATCTCTTAGCCTGCAACCTAACCTGCTCCGGACCAGGTTAGCCGCTCAGCATCAGTTACCATGGAGATCTAGCCCGCTAAGAAGAGAACCAGCGTCGGTCCTACGACGCTTGTTCTCTTTTTAGCGGGCTAGATCTCCATGGTAACTTACCCTAAGTGTTATTATGGTACAGTGTTGTAATTGTTGTTGTTATTGTTGTAGTGTTATTACCGTGCAGTTTTGTTATTGTTGTTCTTATTGTTGTAGTACTATTGCAGTACAGTGTTGTTGTTGTTGTTGTTGTTGTTCTTGTGGTGTTATTGCAATACAGTGTTGTTGTTGTTGTTGTTGTTATTGTTATAGTGTTGTTGGTACCTTTGCAATCCTGCAGCAGGGCGTCCCCGTAGTACCCCGCTCTGCAGTGCTGGCAATGCTCGCCCCCCGTGCCGTGCAGGCAGCGCTGACAGACCCCTGTCACAGCGTCGCAGGCATCTCGCTCCTCCGGGGCGATGTTGTTGTTGCAGAGACAACGTTCACAGCCGGCGCCTGGAGACCGCAGGTCGCCATAGAAACCAGGGCTGCACCTGTCACAGTGCGGGCCTGAGACAATGTTTTAATAAAGTTAAAACAAAGTTAAAATAAAGTTTACACTGAACATGTTTAGAACCCTTTACACAGGCCCGGCTCTCAGGGACCTAAAGCACCAGAACACACGGACCTCTGAAGGAACGTGAGCTCCACATACTTCCTGTCGGACTCACCTGAGTGGCCTGAACTGCAGTCACAGCTCAGACTGAGGGATTCTGGGTCGGGTCGGCAGGAAGTGGCGAAGAATCGTCCGCTGCCCTGAACGCCAGGACACAGGCAGGGCTCACAGGGCCGCCTGGAGACCGGGTCGCCATAAAACCCTCCATACACCTGCATGTGAACCACAGGAAGTCATCAGAACCAGAACCCCTCAAAGATCCATCAGAACCACAGAAAGACATTAAAAACCAGAACCTCTCAAACATCCCTCAGAACCACAGGAAGTCATCAGAACCAGAACCTCTCAAACATCCGTCAGAACCATAGAAAGACATTCAGAACCAGAACCTCTCAAACATCCGTCAGAACCATAGAAAGACATTCAGAACCAGAACCTCTCAAACATCCATCAGAACCACAGGAAGTCATCAGAACCCCTAAAACATCCCTCAGTACCATCTCAGTACCTGTCGCAGTGTGGCCCTGCGGCGTCCTCCCTGCACTCGACACACTCTCCTGTGTCTTCCTCACACTTGTCCGACAGGCCGTTGCACTCACAGGGTCGACAGAGCGGGAATCCCCAGAATCCTTTGCGGCAGCGATCGCACCGCCGGCCTGCGATGTCTCTCCGACAGGAACACTGACCTCTGACCTGCTCACAGAGCGGATCAGAACCAGCAGCGTGGCACTCGCAGGCTGGGGAGGAAACATACCGTCAGCCGTCTGAGGGCACCTGGAGAACAACTATCAACAGGAAGAGAAGGAACCGTACGCTGTCAGCCGTCTGAGGGCACCTGGAGAACAACTATCAACAGGAAGAGAAGGAACCGTACGCCGTCAGCCGTCTGAGGGCACCTGGAGAACACGTACCGTCAGCCCTCTGAGGCCTAGAAGAGAAGGAACCGTACGCCGTCAGCCGTCTGAGGGCACCTGGAGAACAACTATCAACAGGAAGAGAAGGAACCGTACGCCGTCAGCCGTCTGAGGGCACCTGGAGAACAACTATCAACAGGAAGAGAAGGAACCGTACGCCGTCAGCCGTCTGAGGGCACCTGGAGAACAACTATCAACAGGAAGAGAAGGAACCGTACGCCGTCAGCCGTCTGAGGGCACCTGGAGAACAACTATCAACAGGAAGAGAAGGAAACCGTACGCTGTCAGCCGTCTGAGGGCACCTGGAGAACAACTATCAACAGGAAGAGAAGGAACCGTACGCTGTCAGCCGTCTGAGGGCACCTGGAGAACAACTATCAACAGGAAGAGAAGGAACCGTACGCCGTCAGCCGTCTGAGGGCACCTGGAGAACAACTATCAACAGGAAGAGAAGGAACCGTACGCTGTCAGCCGTCTGAGGGCACCTGGAGAACAACTATCAACAGGAAGAGAAGAAACCGTACGTTGGCAGCCGTCGGGTCCAAAGCCAAACGTCAGCGGAGCACAGGCATCACAGCAACGGCCAATCACATTGGGTTTACATTCACAGACTCCTCCCAGTTTACTGCAGGACGGACTGAGGGAACCGGCAGCGTTACACCTGCAGCCTGAAACACAGAGATCCAGAACACTTGATAATATGCTAGATCAGGGGTTTTCAAAGTGTGGGAAGGTGAGCCTCGCCTCAGAGAACTTAAGAACAGCCCGCCCCCCCTCCCAATTATTATTGCTATTATTATTATTATTATTGTTGTTGTTGTTGTTGTTGTTGTTGTTGCTATAATGCAGGGGCATTCAATTACATTTCAAAGAGGAGAGAACATGCTCTGTTTTCGCTGTCTACCTTTCTCTTCTTTGAGCCATTTAAAGTTACTCTGACTGTTTCTCTCCTCCTGTCTCGTCTCTGTGTTTGAAGCTATCGTGCTGACTCACTGACTGCACCCATTTGATTGGCTGAGTAGCGTCACCTCCTTAAAACATGAAACAATAACTTTTTAAAACCTTTTTATCTTTGTTTTTTTGTTTTTTAACATTTTCAACATCGTGGATGAATCCTTATTTGCTCCCGGCAACACACTGAACGAAACTTTGCCTCCTCATTACACTCAGCCTACTTTAGTGGGAACAATGAGTCTGCGTCTTTGAAGCACACAGGAATAAACACAGATCCTCCTCTGGCTGCAGCCGACCGGCACTCACACAGGTGGGTGGAGGTGAAGGGAGTGAGCACTCTCACAGGTAGGTGGAGGTGAAGGGAGTGAGCACTCACACAGGTGGGTGGAGGTGAAGGGAATGAGCACTCTCACAGGTGGGTGGAGGTGAAGGGAGTGAGCACTCTCACAGGTGGGTGGAGGTGAAGGGAGTGAGCACTCACACAGGTGGGTGGAGGTGAAGGGAATGAGCACTCTCACAGGTGGGTGGAGGTGAAGGAAGTGAGCACTCTCACAGGTGGGTGGAGGTGAAGGGAGTGAGCACTCTCACAGGTGGGTGGAGGTGAAGGGAGTGAGCACTCACACAGGTGGGTGGAGGTGAAGGGAGTGAGCACTCACACAGGTGGGTGGAGGTGAAGGGAGTGAGCACTCACACACGTGGGTGGAGGTGAAGGGAATGAGCACTCTCACAGGTGGGTGGAGGTGAAGGGAGTGAGCACTCTCACAGGTGGGTGGAGGTGAAGGGAGTGAGCACTCACACAGGTGGGTGGAGGTGAAGGGAATGAGCACTCTCACAGGTGGGTGGAGGTGAAGGGAGTGAGCACTCACACAGGTGGGTGGAGGTGAAGGGAATGAGCACTCTCACAGGTGGGTGGAGGTGAAGGGAGTGAGCACTCACACAGGTGGGTGGAGGTGAAGGGAGTGAGCACTCACACAGGTGGGTGGAGGTGAAGGGAGTGAGCACTCACACACGTGGGTGGAGGTGAAGGGAATGAGCACTCACACAGGTGGGTGGAGGTGAAGGGAGTGAGCACTCACACACGTGGGTGGAGGTGAAGGGAGTGAGCACTCACACAGGTGGGTGGAGATGAAGGGAGTGAGCACTCACACACGTGGGTGGAGGTGAAGGGAATGAGCACTCACACAGGTGGGTGGAGGTGAAGGGAGTGAGCACTCACACAGGTGGGTGGAGGTGAAGGGAGTGAGCACTCTCACAGGTGGGTGGAGGTGAAGGGAGTGAGCACTCACACACGTGGGTGGAGGTGAAGGGAATGAGCACTCACACAGGTGGGTGGAGGTGAAGGGAGTGAGCACTCACACAGGTGGGTGGAGGTGAAGGGAGTGAGCACTCTCACAGGTGGGTGGAGGTGAAGGGAGTGAGCACTCTCACAGGTGGGTGGAGGTGAAGGGAGTGAGCACTCTCACAGGTGGGTGGAGGTGAAGGGAGTGAGCACTCACACACGTGGGTGGAGGTGAAGGGAGTGAGCACTCACACAGGTGGGTGGAGGTGAAGGGAGTGAGCACTCACACAGGTGGGTGGAGGTGAAGGGAGTGAGCACTCACACAGGTGGGTGGAGGTGAAGGGAGTGAGCATACAGCCTTGTTGACGAGGTGGGGGAACTCGGTCTCCACAGACAGCCAAAAGTGTCTCCTCTCTCACTTTAGGTAACTTCACTAAAAACCGATCCATGTTGCCGCTCGCATAAAGTTAGCTGAAGTTAGCTAGCTACATTTCACTGTTTCTCGTTATTCTTTTCTCACGCTGCGCCTCCCCTGAAGCTCTCTGGCGCCCCCCTGTGGAGGCGCGCTCACACTTTGAAAACCGCTGTGCTAGATTATATGAACTTCATCATGTACTATGTTCCTGGAGGACTCACGGACGGCTCCGCGGTGGATCCTTGCCGACATGCTCTTCACGAGTCCCTCACAAACCTCCGGCAGCCCCTCCTGAGGGTCGAGCTCAGCGGCCAATCCGATGCAGCGGAAGCGGCGGAAAAGAGTCGAGGTCGGTCTGTGAACAGAAGTCCTGGACCGACTCGATGCTGGGGATCAAACCCATCTGAAACAACATGAATCATTCAATTCTAAATTATTTAGTTTTTACTTTTAGCGATGAATGAAGTTTCTCCAAGTTCAGATCAATATCGCTTCAACTTGTGAAGACATTCAAACAGGCCTGCAGGCACACGATTGGACAGACTTGATCCCTCACTGATTGGACAGACTGGACCCCTCACTGATTGGACAGACTGGACCCCTCACTGATTGGACAGACTGGATCCCTCACTGATTGGACAGACTGGACCCCTCACTGATTGGACAGACTGGATCCCTCACTGATTGGACAGACTGGACCCCTCACTGATTGGACAGACTGGATCCCTCACTGATTGGACAGACTGGACCCCTCACTGATTGGACAGACTGGACCACTCACTGATTGGACAGACTGGACCCCTCACTGATTGGACAGACTGGACCCCTCACTGATTGGACAGACTGGATCCCTCACTGATTGGACAGACTGGACCCCTCACTGATTGGACAGACTGGACCCCTCACTGATTGGACAGACTGGATCCCTCACTGATTGGACAGACAGCTCATACTCACCGAGTCGATCAGGATGCCGTTGCTGTTGGAACCGTCGGGCTGTTTGTTAAAGACGACGTCCACGAGGTACCGAGCATCAGCGTTCAGACACAGCGGAGAGTCCAGAACTCCCCCTCTGCAGACAAACAACAACAAACAACAGTAAACAAACAACAATACACAAACAACAGCGCCCCCCAGTGGTAACCATGTGAATAAAAAGGTAAACAGTCTCACCTGGAGTTTCCAGGAAGGATCAGAGTTCTACTTCCTTTTGGGTCGCCTCTGCAGCCGCCGTTGCCTGGCGACCCTGCAATGGCGCTGACTGAAGCCAACCAATCAGACGGAGACTGCGAAGGAAGATCAGCTCACGTTGAGAAACAGGAAGTACGATTTCCCAGTAATGACATCATCATGTAGGAAGTCACCTTCTGTAGTACTACTTCCTCTTTCCTGTCATGATTGTATCAGACTTTTTAAAAGAGTACGCAGCTGTCCTCACAAAGTACACAAAGTATATCATGTCTGCTACGCAAAGGATTGTGCGTCAGAACAGAGGGAAAGACTGCAGACTGCACAATGTGAGCGGCCTGGGTCAGGACCTGAACCAGAACCAGAACCCGGCTTCTGTACCTCAGGCTCGTAGCGAATCACGAGCTGGTAATCCATGGACGACGGGAGGTTGTCCACAGTAAACCTAAGCCCCGCCCCCTCCAGCACTCTGACGAATCCCAGGCCGGTCCAGGTGATCAGCTGACCCCCGGCCCTCTGACGGGGGATGATCTGCAGGGCATGGCCCGGCTCCAGAGGAAGGTTCTGGACACAGCAAACTCAAGATGAAGAGGGCCGTCTGATTAGCTGAGCCGTCAGACCGGGGTTCACCATTGGCTGGCGTTAAACAGGAAATGGATGAAGCGCCTCACCTGTCTCCTCCGGCGGCCGGCACGTCGAGTCCTTCGGACCAGAACCACCACTCCATCACGGACCTTAAAGTCGTAACCCTGCTCTCGGTAAATCTGCTCACAGCGCGGCAACACCAGCGGGCTCAACTGGAAATACACAAAGTACACATGAATACCTTCAGTACACACACATTACTACCGTGATTACACACACAGTCATACTGCGAGTACACACACAATACACACTCATTAATATTGTTATTATGATTATTTTTGTTATTGTTGTGTTGTGATTCCCACACCAGAGGAGAAGAAGAGGACGGTGTAGGAGGAGGAGGTGGAGGAGGAGGAGGTGTAGAAGGTGGAGGAGGTGGAGGAGATCCCTGCAGTGGAGCGGCGAGCTCCGCCTCGTACAGGAAGTAGTCCAGAGGAGGCAGGAAGTGGCCGGCGGTGGGCTCGGAGCAGCGGCGCCCCCCCCATGTTGGGCAAACACTGACACTGACCGTCCTCCGGAGAACAGCTGAGGAACAAACACTCTGTTATTAGAGAAGGGGCGGAGAATGAGGCCCACCGTCTGGCTGTAAACATAATGGTTTATCTATACATCTGTATATAATGGATGTTAGGACCTAGTAGTTGCTTCTGAATGTTTGACAAAAGCAGATTCAGATTTAAAAAATCATGAAGAAATCGGAAACCTACGTGGTGCTGTGAGCTCCACCGATATCACAGTCGCAGAGGGAACACCTGTACCCCGAGACCCCCAAACCCCAGAAACCTGCCTGATACAAACACAGAGAACATAACGAGGTCAGGATCATAACGAGGTCAGGAGGTCAGGGTCAAAACGAGGTCAGGGTCATAACAAGGTCAGGGTCATAACGAGTTCAGGGTCATAAGGAGGTCAGAGTCATAACGAGGTCAGGGTCATAACGAGGTCAGGGTCATAACGAGGTCAGGATCATACCGAGGTCAGGAGGTCAGGGTCATAACGAGGTCAGGGTCATAACGAGGTCAGGAGGTCAGGGTCATAACAAGGTCAGGGTCATAACGAGGTCAGGAGGTCAGGGTCATAACAAGGTCACGATCATAACGAGGTCAGGGTCACAACAAGATCACGAGGTCAGGGTCATAACGAGGTCAGGGTCATAACGAGATCAGGAGGTCAGGATCATAACGAGGTCAGGGTCATAACGAGGTCAGGGTCATAACGAGGTCAGGAGGTCAGGGTCATAACAAGGTCACGATCATAACGAGGTCAGGGTCACAACAAGATCACGAGGTCAGGGTCATAACGAGATCAGGAGGTCAGGATCATAACGAGGTCAGGGTCATAACAAGATCAGGAGGTCAGGATCATAACGAGGTCAGGGTCATAACGAGATCAGGAGGTCAGGGTCATAACGAGGTCAGAATCATAACGAGGTCAGCATCATAACGAGCTCAGGGTCATAACGAGGTCAGGAGGTCAGGGTCATAACAAGGTCAGGGTCATAACGAGTTCAGGGTCATAAGGAGGTCAGAGTCATCACGAGGTCAGGGTCATAAGGAGGTCAGGGTCATAACGAGGTCAGGGTCATAACGAGGTCAGGAGGTCAGGGTCACAACAAGATCACGAGGTCAGGGTCATAACGAGGTCAGGGTCATAACGAGATCAGGAGGTCAGGGTCATAACGAGGTCAGGATCATAACGAGGTCAGGATCATAACGAGCTCAGGGTCATAACGAGGTCAGGAGGTCAGGATCATAACGAGGTCAGGGTCATAACGAGGTCAGGGTCATAACGAGTTCAGGGTCATAAGGAGGTCAGAGTCATAACGAGGTCAGGGTCATAAGGAGGTCAGGGTCATAACGAGGTAAGGAGGTCAGGGTCATAACGAGGTCAGGGTCATAACGAGGTCAGGATTATAACGAGGTCAGGAGATCAGGATCATAACGAGGTCAGGGTCATAACGAGGTCAGGGTCATAACGAGTTCAGGGTCATAAGGAGGTCAGAGTCATAACGAGGTCAGGGTCATAAGGAGGTCAGGGTCATAATGAGATCAGGGTCATAATGAGGTCAGGAGGTCAGGGTCATAACGAGGTCAGGATCATAACGAGGTCAGGAGGTCAGGATCATAACGAGGTCAGGAGGTCAGGATCATAACGAGGTCAGGGTCATAACAAGATCAGGGTCATAAGGAGGTCAGAGTCATAACGAGGTCAGGAGGTCAGGATCATAACGAGGTCATGATCATAACGAGGTCAGGAGGTCAGGGTCATAACAAGGTCAGGGTCACAACAAGATCACGAGGTCAGGGTCATAACGAGATCAGGAGGTCAGGATCATAACGAGGTCAGGGTCATAACGAGATCAGGAGGTCAGGGTCATAACGAGGTCAGGATCATAACGAGGTTAGGATCATAACGAGCTCAGGGTCATAACGAGGTCAGGAGGTCAGGATCATAACGAGGTCAGGGTCATAACGAGGTCAGGGTCATAACGAGTTCAGGGTCATAAGGAGGTCAGAGTCATAACGAGGTCAGGGTCATAAGGAGGTCAGGGTCATAACGAGGTCAGAGTCATAACGAGGTCAGGAGGTCAGGGTCATAACGAGGTCAGGGTCATAACGAAGTCAGGATCATAACGAGGTCAGGAGGTCAGGATCATAACGAGCTCAGGGTCATAACAAGGTCAGGAGGTCAGGATCATAACGAGGTCAGGGTCATAACGAGGTCAGGGTCATAACGAGTTCAGGGTCATAAGGAGGTCAGAGTCATAACGAGGTCAGGGTCATAACGAGGTCAGGAGGTCAGGATCATAATGAGTTCAGGATAATAACGAGCTCAGGGTCATAGCGAGGTCAGGGTCATAACGAGGTCAGGGTCATAACGAGGTCAGGATCATAACGAGCTCAGGGTCATAATGAGGTCAGGAGGTCAGGGTCATAACGAAGTCAGGGTCATAACGAGTTCAGGGTCATAACGAGGTCAGGGTCATAACGAAGTCAGGAGGTCAGGGTCACAACAAGATCACGAGGTCAGGGTCATAACGAGATCAGGAGGTCAGGATCATAACGAGCTCAGGGTCATAACGAGGTCAGGAGGTCAGGATCATAACGAGGTCAGGGTCATAACGAGGTCAGGGTCATAACGAGTTCAGGGTCATAAGGAGGTCAGAGTCATAACGAGGTCAGGGTCATAACGAGGTCAGGATGTCAGGATCATAATGAGTTCAGGATAATAACGAGCTCAGGGTCATAGCGAGGTCAGGGTCATAACGAGGTCAGGGTCATAACGAGGTCAGGATCATAACGAGGTCAGGATCATAACGAGATCAAGAGGTCAGGGTCATAACGAGGTCAGGGTCATAACGAGTTCAGGGTCATAAGGAGGTCAGAGTCATAACGAGGTCAGGGTCATAAGGAGGTCAGGGTCATAACGAGGTCAGGAGGTCAGGGTCATAACGAGGTCAGGGTCATAACGAAGTCAGGATCATAACGAGGTCAGGAGGTCAGGATCATAACGAGCTCAGGGTCATAACGAGGTCAGGAGGTCAGGATCATAACGAGGTCAGGGTCATAACGAGGTCAGGGTCATAACGAGTTCAGGGTCATAAGGAGGTCAGAGTCATAACGAGGTCAGGGTCATAACGAGGTCAGGAGGTCAGGATCATAATGAGTTCAGGATAATAACGAGCTCAGGGTCATAGCGAGGTCAGGGTCATAACGAGGTCAGGGTCATAACGAGGTCAGGATCATAACGAGCTCAGGGTCATAATGAGGTCAGGAGGTCAGGGTCATAACGAAGTCAGGGTCATAACGAGTTCAGGGTCATAACGAGGTCAGGGTCATAACGAAGTCAGGAGGTCAGGGTCACAACAAGATCACGAGGTCAGGGTCATAACGAGATCAGGAGGTCAGGGTCATAACGAGCTCAGGGTCATAACGAGGTCAGGAGGTCAGGATCATAACGAGGTCAGGGTCATAACGAGGTCAGGGTCATAACGAGTTCAGGGTCATAAGGAGGTCAGAGTCATAACGAGGTCAGGGTCATAACGAGGTCAGGATGTCAGGATCATAATGAGTTCAGGATAATAACGAGCTCAGGGTCATAGCGAGGTCAGGGTCATAACGAGGTCAGGGTCATAACGAGGTCAGGATCATAACGAGGTCAGGATCATAACGAGATCAAGAGGTCAGGGTCATAACGAGGTCAGGGTCATAACGAGTTCAGGGTCATAAGGAGGTCAGAGTCATAACGAGGTCAGGGTCATAAGGAGGTCAGGGTCATAACGAGGTCAGAGTCATAACGAGGTCAGGAGGTCAGGGTCATAACGAGGTCAGGGTCATAACGAAGTCAGGATCATAACGAGGTCAGGAGGTCAGGATCATAACGAGCTCAGGGTCATAACGAGGTCAGGAGGTCAGGATCATAACGAGGTCAGGTCATAACGAGGTCAGGGTCATAACGAGTTCAGAGGTTCATAAGGAGGGTCAGAGGTAATAACGAGTTGGTCAGGGTCATAACGAGGTC